TTTTTTTTTTTCGTCTGAGAGAGGGCACTGGAGGAGAAAATTCCTCTCGTGAACGCTGGATCTTCTCGCCCCCTTGTAAAGCTGAAGGAAACACCATTTTTCCAAAGCAGAGACGATCACGATGTTTATTAATTCAGAAACACTGGCAGATAACATCAAAAGTCACTAAGTCATCTGAAGTTTCGTTACAATTCTTTCATTGTAAAGGAATGAAATTAAATTTTTTTCTTCAATATTGTATATTACAAGAAGAGGATAGTTGCATTGAAACGTGCCTCAATGCATTAATAATTTGAACGACTCTTTTCGCAGTGCGGGATTCATGGTTTAAGAAACATACTAGATATTTCTGTTTGCAGTTTTTTGCATGAATAATGTCCAATAGGATTAAACTTTCGTATCGTACTGATAATTTAATTAATTAATAATTTACTCAATCTACTTATTATTAGTGATTCAAAGAGGATAATGTCCTGAGATCTTTACCGATTAAGCGTGGAAAAACATAAACTAATACTAATTAACGTTGAGAAGATCAGTTTCCAATGATGAATTCTAATCGGAGGTGCGCATTACGTACAAGTTATGCAATTTGATCTACAAGTCCATTATGAATTACCTGAATTCACAATAAAATTGCGTAAGAAATGAATTCTAACGCATCCGGAGTTGAATTTATTAAAGTCCAAGGAAAATCATTTTCTTCGGAGTTATCGTACACGATTTATTTAACCTTTATGATCTCAATCATTTCCAATGCGTTTCTTAGAGTAGTTTATTTAAAGGGCGTGGAAGATGATCAAATTATATTGAATTTTTTAAAAATTGTTTAATTATGTTAAGACATTAGATCTTTAATTATATTATGTACAGTGAATTTATACACTATACATAATACTATTTATGGATTACAAAAATATTTCGCAATTAATCGTTATAATTACTACTTTAAAAAAATATTTATCTCCCCTGTTGTTATTTTGAACCTGCTGTTCCACTTCAACATATAATTCAATGGATACTGTTGAAATATAAATAATTTTCCCGAAACAACGCGATTAGAGCTAGCTGAATGTTCCCTTCCAATTGTTGAACGTATATCAACCAGTTACAACACACGATCGTCAAGCAGTTGCTGAAAGAATGTCCCTCTATTCTATTATTATCGATTACGATAGTCGCGTGAAGAAATTGATATACATACTTCGCCGGCGAGAGATCGACGGAAACATGTTTGTTCGCGTGTTCGCAATTACAATATTTTCGCGCGCGACAAACAGAGCCCAAGAATGCCGAGCGACTATTCGAGCGAGTATTCTCCTCGAGCACATTGTCGTTCGCCTTTTTCCAAGCTGTTCCACGGTCGTCGCTCGTCGCTCGGGTCGTTGGGCCAAAGATTATCAAAGAAACCGGGCAAGTGCAACGGGTTTCGTAACGTTATGTGCTGTCCGCTGCTCGAGCAGCTCATTTCGTGATGGTGAAAAATTATAAATTAGATCATACATTTATACAGGGTGATTCACGCTATTGTAACGAGCAATTCTGTTGGCTCAAGTTAGATAAAAACGTCGGCTGGAAACAGATGAATGATCCAAGGTGAGCCACGTATTCACGATCGTATGATACTTTTATTGCTG